AACATTAAAGAAAGTAAATGTAGTTTAATGGCTATATTGATATATCAGTGTTTGCAGTATGTAAATACTGAAGTATAAATGTAGTCTTGGGCTGGAAATGGAACACTTTCCACTTCAAGTTCAATATCAAAATCATGTTATTACCCAATAGTAAAGTACCCAGACTTTGAAACAATGACATTTAAGTTTCTACAGTGACTTTTAAGGACTACGGGTAAATGTGAAAGCTTATCACACACTAATAGCTGGAAATGACAAACCCTTTGGGTTAAGTCTCACAAAAAAAGTTGTGTCGATTAATTTAGAAGGTGGAATTTAAAGATTGCATTTTTTTTCTATGTGAAACAAAAAGTGCAAAAAGGATTTCCAAAGACATGTTATATATGATTTTTCTTTTCTTCTGTTACAAAAATGAGTAGGTGAAAATGCCCGAGAGTATTTGGAAACTAAAATCACAAAAATTATTTTAGTCTTTCTAGCATGAACAGCTATCTCATCATTAATACAAGCATACTCAAAGAACATAGATTCAAAGGAATTAAATCCAGACCTCCACAATCACAGACACAACTTCATATAATTTCTTCTTTAAATATCTGTAAAGTATGGCAATTGTATATAATAAATACACATCTTTCAGTTAAAAAAAAAAAAAGTAGAAATTTACTGTACAAAGCAAGTATGTGGGTTTGCTAAATGATACCAAAAAGATTGCATTTGTTGTTTAAATTTCTTTGGAAAAAAAAAAGATCTTGTAAGTAACATAATATATTTTAAAGCTCTCATTTCCGCCCTTCTTTCTGCTCATTGTTCTTCAAATTTCTTGCTTCTTTACTTTTTTCTTTGTCTTGCACAGACCACCAGACTACACCCACAATCACATTTGGGAAACTTTCCTGACATGTGGTTTCTGCAGTTTCCCTCTGCTTTTCATCACTGGTAGAAGGTTCTGTCCTTGTGTTTAGCTGGTTTCACAGACGATTATTGAAACTCTTTTCTTTTACTTACTCCTGGATTGTTTATATATTATTCCATCAGTTTAATTGGACTGTACTCCTTTACAAAATGTAGAAAGTATAAGCTTGTCAGAAGATAAATTTAACGAGTAGGGTTATAATCACCTGCAAAGACAGTATGTACAGGTAGGAAAATATAAAATGTACATATTAGTTCATTAAGATGAGATACAGATTATCTTATCTCTTAATGAAACATCTTTCAAGAGCATGAAGAATAATACACAGACATCTGAACCATGCAGAAAAGCAGAATCATTTTCATGTATAGCAGGGCCCCTTTCAAATCTTAGACACTTTACTGTAGAGTTTACCTGTTGAACAGAAGCCTTTCTCATTTGTTGAGCCAATATTTAGATAAAAGGTAATGCACACTTCTGTAGTAAGTTTCAAGGGATTGAAGTAAATGTAAAATATCTCACTTTCTTTCCTTCTCCTGTGTCTGCTCATTTAGCTGTCTAGCTCTAATAGGTATAGGTAAGAAACTTCTGTGTAGAAATCTTTCTCTGTAACCCATTATCTACTGCCTTTGGTCAAATTTTAAAATTTCAAGACAGACATGAAAACTGGTATCGAGAAACACTTTTTATTCAGGTGATTGTAATTACATTTACATTGTGGTATGTATACACTAGCAATGATAAACTTTTATGCTAGCGTATCCATGGGAAACATGCTGTAACCCACCTCCCTTTACATGAGCTCACATGGTAATAGCATGTGAGTAAGAGCACTGCTCTTCCTTCTCTGTTTCTCTCAGCTGCTTTTCTCAGTCACAAACCTTTATTGTCCTTCTTCTGCATAAACATTTAGATCCTCTTTTAATTTCTGTAAGAACCTCTGTTATTTGTTCATTCTGGTTTTTTAGGACTTCAGCACGAAGTTTGCTCTTGGATATTACCCTTTTTCCACATGCTGTGGCTTCTGGTTTGACCCTCACACTATATGGCTTTAACCTCTCCCTTCCAGTCTCAAGAATTGCACTGCCTGTGGTTGGAAATGTTTCATTCCTGATGGGCCTATCCACTGCTTTTGCTTTCTTTGAGAAGGAAACATCACAGCTAAGAGTTCTGTTTGGCATTTGGACCCAGAACTAAAAAAGATGAACTGCAGCATCTTCTGGAATTTTTATTTACCAAGTCCATGAGCAATTTGATGGATTTGCTCAGCAAAGCTAACACAATACAATTGGACCCTACTCTGTTCATAAATCAGCCCCCAAAAAGAAATAAATATAATCAAAACCATTCTTGGTTTCAGGGTCACTCCCTAGCCCTAGGAAAGTTCAAACTATCCATGTTTGCACTTTAATGAAGTTCTAAGACCTTTCAGTCCAAAAGGGTGTCAGGAGAGTGTCTGGTAGTTTTTATTCAAAATTCTCCTATTGACCTGTTGAAGGAAGCAAATGAAAGAAATTCCACTTGCAGGCCTTTCTTTCCATCTCTGCATGTTTACTATCACTAAGGTGCATAGGCTAAAATTTCTTCTACAAAGTTACTGCTGACCATTTGGCCAGTCACTTTCACTGTCTTTCCAATGTAGTAACAGTTTGACACCAGGCCATCCAATGCCAGCTGCAGATGTGCCACCACAATGTCACCAAGAATCTCCTCTGACCTATTTTCAGTTCCTATTTTCAGTACCCTTTGTGAAGGGTATGATTTGGGCACTAACGGCATACTTTTAGTAAATAGTTCCATAAAAATGAGATGACCATCAAAAAACACCTGAAGTTCTTGCCCACAGCGGTTTCTGACCTGTATCTATTTCATAATCAATAGTTCATTTGCTTTTCTTAAGTCTTATGTTTCTACAGGAATCCTTGTTGCCATAATTAAGTCATTCGCTAGTTTCTATATTCATTGGACAAAGAACTTTAAGAGAACTACTCATCTTTCCATATCCACATCTGAAAGGTTGAAAATCTAACAAAAATGTTGGGCTGGATTATAGATTGTATAAAGAAGTCCTGAAAAACACAAATATCTAAGCTTAGTATAGAGGTCCATTCAACTAAAGTAGCTGATGGGCCCATTCAAGTAGAAATGGTGATTTCTCCAGATTACATTGCAATACTTGATATCCTCAGCTTAGGCACTTGAAGTTGCATCCACCCCTTTGCTAATTATTATGTTTACAATGAAGTTTCTGAAAATGCTGCTATATTTTGCAGTGTTGTCTTTCGGACTTTCTATAACTAGGCGTCCTCAGAACCCCTTCTAGATGGTTGTTGGCAAAATGTTACTTTGAGTTACCCACAGATTGAATAAACATGTAAAAAATCATTCAAAGAAGTAGATGCTTTTCTATTCTGGCATTGTTTCTGTCCACAAGGAAACTGAAAAGAGATTGTCTAAAATAATGTAATCTTACATGGTGGAACATCTTACCAAAGAAAAGAGAGACATTTCGTTTCACGCATCTCAGTTTAACGAAGTCCAATGAATCTGGTGTACAGCATTGGTCAGTGACTATGTAACTTAATCAGTTATGAATTTGTGCTTAAACAAAACTTAGATTTATACCCTGTGTGCTTTTAAGGGTACATGAAGTACTGTATGCTGCATGTCACTTTATCAGATACTGTCAGTTCCTCTTTGCGACCAAATTAATTCCATACCCGTTAGTTCAGTCTCACAGTGCCAAAACTGCTGGTTTTCTCTCTTCTACACATTGACATGTAAACATGTGCTTGATAATTTGAGTTGACTAATAAACACAAGAGTGTGAGAACAGCCAATGCTGTGTCATACCAAAGGTTCACTTAGGGATGCCTAAGGAAAGGTAGAAGAACAGGGCAAACTTGTAGCTGTGGTTCCCCTCCCCAGAATGCTCTCCCACCGTCAAGAAATCTGTGGCTCAGGAGCTTTCTAAATCAGAGGGAATACTTTTATATTGAATAACCCTTAATGGATTTTCTTTTTCTGTGAATTTGTCTAGTTAATTTCTAACATGCAAACTTCTAACAGCCACTGCAATCCTGCTCCAAGGATTTAATCTTAACTATGCTTTGTTTGAAAATAACTTTATTTTATTCTGAACATGTCACCTGCTAATTTCATCTGATGCTCCCAGGTCTTGTCCTGGAAGAGAGATCCCTGTGTGCCCTTTCCATTCTACTCAAGATTCTGTACATCTCTATCTATACGCTCCTTGTTTTTCTCTTTTATAGCCTTGAGTGTCCTAGTTGGTTAGTCATTCCCTCTACGGAGCAGTTCCCTACATTTGATTATTCTTGTTGTCTTTCTCTAAATCTTTTCTAATTTTACTATAACTTTTTCAAGATGGAAAAGATGGAACAGATCTGCATACTGTATTCAAGATCAGGGCACTGTTTAGTTTTCTATTTCTTTTCTAAGAGCATACCTAGACATTTTTCCAGAGTTGTGTTTGTATCCATTAGTCACATTTTACATTGATTGTTCATACGCTGAGATGCACCATGGTTCTCCCACAGTTGCTGTCATGACTTGTGTATCATCCCCTCTTAAGTATTTCTGAATACTCATTTGCATTGATACAAGAAAATAATATTACCACCACTTTGTCTTAGCTGTCAGACTTAATGTAGGAAATAGAAGACACTATGAGAGCCTAAACAGGGGTGTCTATTACTGTTTTAGATGCCCTAAGGTATGTGAGGCACCCACCTGGCAAATATGATACAGCACGTAAGGGAGACTTGCACCTTTCTGGAGTGTCAGCTTGAGGCTGTAAAGAATACCCTGTGGTATCTTGAATGACACTAGATACCTTTATTTAGGCATTGAATTTCTGCCTAGATGGTGGTATGTAAAACAGTCTAACTCTCATATGTCAATCAAGAGAGCTCTGAGTTCTGAATTAGCCATATTTCTTGGTGAAGGCAACACAGCAATAGCTGCAGTGTTGAATAATTATGTCATGCCAATCTCTTTTTTTAACATTTGCATATAAGTACAGATTGAATATTTAAAAACAATGTTTCTTTTGATTCTCATTTAGGATGCTGGGGAAATGGTTCGATCCTTTGTTGGTGGCTTGGAACTGATAGTCAATTTGCTAAAATCAAAGAATAAAGAAGTTTTAGCAAGTGTATGTGCAGCCATTACAAATATAGCTAAAGATGAAGAAAATTTAGCTGTTATAACAGATCATGGAGTCGTCCCTCTGTTGTCCAAACTAGCAAACACAGTAAGTAACTTCTAAACATATTATACTAAGTATCTGAGTTTCTTATGTCACACTGCATTATACCCAACTAAAAGGTTAAGACAAGAGCAGTAGATTTTGCAGAAGCTACAAGGAAGAGCTGTAGAATCCTTCCTCTGTGAGGTCTGTATTGGACATGAAAACTCTCTGTGGCTGGTACTAAAATTGCTTTGGAAGATGAGCTTCATTTTAGTAGTCACTGTTGCTGAATATTGCTTTTGAGAGATGCAGCTGCCATATGAAAAAAGCACAAAGGGTCGAGAGAGCAATAAATCTGAACCATGCAGAGAATCTCAACAGTGGGGCTATATGTTACATTTTAATGCTAATCTTATCTGATTTCCAGTCAGTCTAAAAGCACCTTTGAAATAATATAAAAATTCACAGCACTTCCTACAAAGAGAATCATAAGGGACTACTAGCTCCATGCCTTACAGCTCTCTCCTGCAGTTAAATTGGGAAGCCTTAAAGATGTTTGAGAATACAATTGTGCTTTCCTATGAAATCTTTATTATATTATGTTGTCTTTAATTTATTATGTTTTTACCTTCTTCAGAACAATGACAAATTAAGACGTCACTTAGCAGAGGCCATTTCCCACTGTTGCATGTGGGGGAGCAATAGAGTTGCCTTTGGAGAGACCAAGGCTGTAGCTCCTTTAGTACGTTACTTGAAGTCAAATGATCCATCAGTTCATAGAGCTACAGCTCAGGCTTTATATCAACTTTCAGAGGATCCCAACAACTGTATCACCATGCATGAAAATGGAGTGGTGAAGGTGAGGTGGAAGGTTTTTCTTATTTGGAGTTCAGATTATTGAAGGGGTTTGGCATGGTCAAAAGAAGAGATCATTCATTTGAAATAGTTCTTGAATACTGCTGTATACCTCAAATTTTCTGAATTTTATCCTAAAAATGTTTGGTTAAGTAGCGAATTAGGGAACAGTATTTCAGTGCTAAAGATATTACAGCTAGGTGGTTGTTAGGAATGGAAATATTATGTGGACATTCACCTCTAGAGTACTTGACTTGACTCTGACCTAGGCTGGTAGTGATGTCACATCAGCATTTTGTCATTCTCAAGTGACTTTTGCAAAAAAAGTTGGGTTATCTTAATGGATAGTTGCCTAGTATGACAGAAAGTCACCTAGGAACTGAGTGTAACTGCATTTGGGGACAAATTAAGATAGAATAATACAAACGCTTAGTTCACCTGGAGCTGTTCAGTGAATTCTGCATTTACTTATAAAAATTCTTATTTTAGGAGTTAAGTATGAGCACATTCTGCAAAGACCTTACCCTAGAAAGAATTTTTCTCTCAAAAAGGTTTTCCTAGCGAAGTTTTATCTCACTAGTTGAAGCCAGTAGAGTTATTTCTTTGGCACAGGAGACATAAGGATTATGGCCTTAGAGATGGAGATTGTAGGAGCTCTCAATTTTCATAGATTTCCTGAAAAATTCACTGTTTGCAGACTTTTCATTTTACTTTGTGCTCAGGTAAATGTATTGAAAGTAAGAGTTGACTTACGATGTAGTGTTACTATTAATGTTGAATTTATGGCTGCATAATGATTGTGCTCTTCCCTGTGAGCTGGCACAGTCTAATGGTCCTGCATTATCATACATTTATCTGTAGTTGGCTATATCTGTAGTTGGGTTAAAAAGATCCACTGGTCAAAGATGTTTAAAGACTCAGTTTAAATGCCAGTACTTGAATCCACTCTGATCTAAGCTGCCCTTTCAGTGCTGGAAAGTAATATCTTCCCATCACAGTTGCATTATACTGGCTACGCAGCACAGAGGAATATATACTGTACTGCAGCTCAATTTGAAACTAGTGTCTGATGACTTTTAATGTTGCTTATCTTTCCATTCAACTGACACAACCCATTTTCTGCTCTCCTGTCATCTGTTGTTTTCATTCATTTTATTATTCAGGTTTTAGGTTTTATAAGTTATAGCACACTGAACGTACTGTATAAAGCTGTTATTCTGATGATATACTTCCATCTCGGTCTACGTTCATCTTTATTTTTCAGTTCTGGTTAAAATATTTAAACTAATTAAAAACATTTATTTGCACTTACAGATAAATAGGGATGTACAGAAAATATACAGGTGTTTAATTTTTTTATTATTCACAATATTCTGGAATGACTATAATATGTTAAGGGAGAGAAAAGAGAACTCATAAAAAGAAGAGCGAAACTACAAAATAAAGGAACTTGGGTTATGTTTGTTGCATCTAAACTTTTTGTCTAGGGTGCACTTCTCGTGAACAAGAAACTTGTATTTTTGTAATGCAGTGGACGAGTGTTTGAATGTTGGTTTGTATGTGGGTCCATCACAGAACCGAAGTGGAAGTGCCTCTCATCTCATAACTGATGGATGGCCTGAACATATGAGAGGATAGATGACCAATTCTCATCACGTGTGCCAGCACACACATGTATTTGTATCATATAAGCAGATGTGCATTAGTAATATGCCAGGAAGCAGCTGCATTTGGTCCATGTTGAGACTAACAGCCAGGGTGGCAGTTCTGCTGAAAACGACCTGGAGAGTAGGTTCAGCAAGCTGAACGTGAGCCAACAGGTGCCCTGGGAGTGGTGAAGGCTAACAGGATCCTGGGCTGCACTAGCGGGACCGTAGCCAGTAGGTCAGGGGTGGTGACTGAGCACTTATTAAATCACATCAGGACTACTATGTTCAGTTGGGGCTCCAAACTGCCCAGCGGAGGGCCACGAAGATGGTTGGGGACTGAAGCACATGACTTGAAAGGGAACTGAGCTTGTCTAGCTTTGAGAAAGAAGGCCTTTGGGCAGTAGTGCCTAATAGCAGCCTGCCAGCATCTAAGAGAAATTTATCAAGGCGACAAAGGCAGGCTCTACTGAAGTGCATGGTAGGAGGACAAGAGCCAATGGTCATTAATTGAATCTGATGGGTTGCATCTGGATATATGGAAAAAAATTCTACTGTGAGGGTAATGAAGCACTGGAACAGTTCCCCAGAGAGGCTGTGGAATCTCCATCCAAGGGAATTTAGACCTGACTTGACAAAGCCATCAGCAAGCTTGTCTGAATTCAGTGTTGACCCTGCTTTGACTAGGAGGTTGGACTAGATGACCTCCTGACATACCTTCCAACCCAAATGATTCTGTGATTCAGATCATCTGATTTCTATCAGATGGAAAATAATGAAGATAATAGGAAATACGGAAAATAATGATTGATCTTTGCAAACCACTTCTTCACTATCTTTTGATAATTAAGCAGTATTCTTCAGCTTCTCAATGGACTTTATTGAGCCATACTCATGGCATATACAATTAGGGAAAACAGCCATAGTTGTGATAATAAGCTTTCCCATTCAGCACCCAGAAGCAGTCACCCTGTCTAATGTGGCAGAAACCTTCTTCACTATACTTAGTCAGATGGGTATCTCAAAAGAAATACTGTCAGAGGAACAGATTTAATCACTCTGTTGTTTAGATGCTTAGGGAGATGTGTAAGATAAAGTGTCTGAATTCCACCCTGTATCATTCAGAAATGAAATATTCATTTCATGAACAGAAAATTCACTTGAATTTTAGGCCAGGGCTGCAAATGTATGTGGCTAAGAGATGCAGTGCCATCCCACATACCTTGAAGTATTTCAAAATTCCATGAGGTTTGACTAACCCTCCTCTGTAGTTCACAAGATCTCACCTTTTTGGGGGAGAGCAGTCTGACTGCAAACAAAGCTGGTTCTGTAATGAATCTTTAAAATGCAGCCAAACCTGATCAAGAATTAAGAGGTTAAAGAGCATTAAGATAAGAACACCTGTGAATGCACATTGCCATGAAGGACCTGGAATAATTCTTCATACCTGCTAAGTATCACCATATGCAAAAGTCTTGGTAAGACTTCTGGAAGTTATTCAGAATATCAGTGAAATCACCTCTAACCTTAAAAGACTGCACTGTTGATTCATGCCATAAGCTGTTCAGTTTGGTAGACTGGAATCTCTTCATAGCCAGGAGGTGACTGTGAACCAAATACATAGCCAGGAAAAGAAACATTATGATTCCTTACTGCTCATTTTTCTTACTGGCAGTAAAAAATGAAATACCCTTGGAAGACACAAATTTACTTGAAGGAGTAGTTCTTGCTAGTCCCCAAAAAAGAAAAAATAATGGAAGTTTGGTGGAGTGTGTTTTCAGATAAACTAAATCAAACTAGTCAGATGGTTGATGTCATCCATACCAAAGACTGTCAGCCAATGCACAGTCAAATGTACTGAATAAGTGTAAGACTTTAAGAAGAGATCTGTCCAGCTCTTCATGTAAACTGTCTTCTGTTCAGTGTCCTACTGAAGGCAGTGTGTATACCGTAGAATCTGAAGTCCTAGGGTCACCCAGCAAATGTGTAACAATGAGATGTAACAATTTACAACTGTAAATTGAGCCTTGAAAACAAGTTTGATACTTATAAAATTAGAAGATATTATTTTAAGAAATCCGTCCAGCTGAAGAGATTCTTTAAACACGTCCCATAATTAGTGCTAAGAGCTACAAATAAGTAGGTAAGCTACATGGAATTATCTTATTTAACACCTGCACGTATTTCTGTGTGTTTGTTTTCAATTACATTCAAGTGAACATTCATGGAAGTGCTTAATTACAAATGCTGCAGACATTTAATCTAGAGAATATGAAAGTAATTATATCTAAACAAACAAAAACATTCTTCACAAATAATATTTCTGTATTTTTATTATCCAGCTATTTTAAAATACCATTTTTTCTAACATAATAAGTATAAATGGAGCAGTTATTAAAGCTTTGTTCCTTTAAGTCTTTAAGAAATCCTTAACACAAGGCAAATTGATAAAATGGGTACGTCTAAACAGTAGGACACTGCAGCAGTTCCCAGCTCTTATGTCCAAGTGCATAGCCTGGCTACAGACTAATTGCACGTTAGGTCTAAACCTGGATGCATACATTCTGGTTCTGTGTAACAAAAAAATGCAGGTGCAGAACTGGAACCACAATATGTATGAATAATTGGGAATCAGGACTGCAGGGCATATTGCAAAATGCATTTGCCTTTCAAGTAGGATATAGCCAGAGAGAATCCAGTACCAGTGTATGTGTTGAAGTTAATGTGACTTGGAGATTCATGTTAATAAACTGTGAAAAACCTGTTCTCTCTAGGCCATAAAGTGACAAAAGTGCAGTGAGAGGTCATCAGAGCTAGCTCTCTCGAGCTATCTTGAGCTTTCTTACCTGCCTACCTTTGGTAGTATGGAGCTCAGTGTCAGATGATTTGCCTTATTCTAGTACTATGACTGCAGTATAGGCATATCCATTTTTTAAAAAGTGTGTAGTTTGGTTTTACCCCTATTTTTCAGGGAATGGAATTTTCCCACCCACAAGAGGACAATACCTATGGTCATCTGGAGTTTCAAACCCTAAATAAAGCCTGGTTAAATTAGCAATTATCCTGCTGTGATATTTCCAACCAGTTTCTAATGCTGATATGTTGTGTTATACCTAGAAAGACAAAGCAGCAAAGCAAAGTGAAGCAACAAATAGGCCTTTTTGGGGGATATATCAGACCAGTGAGACATAGTGGTTGCTATCCAGTGAGGATGCCCATATAATACGAGAAACATGATGGGCAGTCTAAGAAAATATGTTCTGTTGGACCTATGATAGTTTCTCCAGATGTGCTAGTCCAAGTGCTTTTGTTCTGTGTCGCAAGAGCTGAGCAGATCATGAAGCACCATGACAGCTCA